AACTATCCAAGGTGCTGAACCTATTTTAAGGATAGGTTTCACCATCCTGGCTAACTTTTTTTAAAACTTAGACTAAAACCTGGGACAGATTCAACAATCCAGTGACTTGGGAGCAACCAGCCCTCACTGCTGGGCTCTGAAGAGGTCTATGTAAAACACTTATTGGGGATTTCCAACTCTCTCTGGTGACAAGCTCTTCATTACAATCTCTAATTTCTCTTCTGCAAATTCTGGAATTTGGGGAGGAAGCAAAGTCTACTCAGAGTGAGAGATGTCTGATTTTGGCCTAGCATGCTATTCCATGGAGTTCAATTGTAATCCTTGTATTTTTCTAGTCAGTCTGTGTTTGATTATTGTTTTTTTCCCCTAAAGAATATCAAGTATGATCAAGACAAGTGTTATATGAGCTGAGTTGATGAAATCAAAATTGAATCATTTTACATCTGCTTCTTTGCAAGTTAGCTAGGTTCCAGAAAAATTACCTATGAGTAGAGATCAGACATCATACTTCCAAACTAAGGGTCTTTGCAGACTGCTAGAAATAGTGCAAATTGAGGCCACTTTAACTGCCCTGGCTCAGTGCTAGGGAATCATGGGAATTGCAGTTTCTCTGAGACATTGAGCCTTCTCTGTAAGAGAGCTCTGGTGCCACAATAAACTACAGTTCCCATGATTCTCTAGCACTGAGTCAGGGCAGTTAAAGTGGCCTCAATTTGCACCATTTCTGGCAGTCTGCAAAGGCCCTAAGTCTTCAAAAATGGAGATGGATAAGTGGAACTGTTAGAAACACTCTGCTTTTGGGGCTTTATAAAACACTAAATGATATATGTTTGGAATTTCAAAATTATGGAGAAAATGCCAGTTATAGATTTTCCAAGAAGACTGTTGAAAAATAGGAAAGAACACAAGGAAAAGGAGAATTCAATTTCTTGTTGTCACTGCTGGACTAATAGTGTCATATAGATTAGCACTGTCATCAAAACAAAATTTGCTTCTTTCCTCATATCAATTCTTCTTTATCCAGTCTAGTGGTGAATCATGCAACCAACCATGTCAGAAGCTGGTCCAGTAGACTGGACTATGGTCTAGATTGAGTATTTGTTCTCATTTATACATTTATTTTTCTTTTTAAAACCTGTGTTTGTCCCAAACTCTTAAACTGCATCCAAACCCTTTTAACAGAAACAAATATTTGAAGCTGGAATCACAAATTGTATTATTCCTATTTGTTTTTCATTCTTCTGAATTATATTGCTTTTAAATGCATCATAAAACTAATAGATCCCCCCTGTTGCCATGGCATACTGTCACAGGAAGGATAAGCAGAAAATTCAACTTATCCAGGCAGTGTTAAAAGGTTTGTGGCTATTGTATAATGAATAGAAGTAGAACCTTTGTTCTCAAGAGCCTTGTGTCAAGGAAAATCTACGAGGCCTGCATTTTGATCCTCATAGGGGGAGAAATGAGGTAGGATAGTTAAGACAGAGACAATGAAGTACTCCTTTCCACAGTTTATACTGAATTATAAAATTTGTAACCACAGGATTTAGGGATGATTGCCAGTTTGGACTGTTTAAATAGTGGATTGAACAAATTAATGGAGCTATCAGTGACTGCTAGTCATGAGAGTCCCTCCAGTATCCATTGCTGGGGGAAGTAAGACAAAAGTTACAGTTTTGCCTGTGTGTAGGCTTTCCATGAGCAACTGGTTGGTAAAAACAATGTGGGACTAAAAAGAAAAGATCAAACTATGTTCTCCTTCCTTGGAGGTGTTTAAGCAGAGGCTGGATGGCCATCTGTCAGGGATGCTTTGATTGGGAATTCCTGCATGGCAGGGGGTTGGACTGGATGGCCCTTGTGGTCTCTTCCAACTCTATGATTCTATGATTCTATGATTCTATGATTCTATGATTCTATGATTCTTATGAAGGATGTCACACAGTCCCACCTCCACTTTCACTAGCCTTAACCTTGTCACTGTCTAGAGATGTCTTTTGCTGAATTATTCACTTCTTCAGGGGAGAACAAATAATTGAGTCAATTTCTGCCTACTAGCAGATGTCTTTGAATATTATGTAGTTTTAAGAGGTCTCACAGGGGGTCTCCAGCAACAGCACAAAGAGGGGAGCAGAAGCCAAATGAGGACTGGGGAGGCTATAGGGTGTATGGGAAGCAGAATGAGGTGGGGTGGGGTGGAAAGAAGCTAAGTGAGAGAAAATGGATGGGAAGGAATTGAGGAAAATGTCATCTAATTAACCACAAACCCAGCACTGTGTGAATATTAGTAAACACACTAAAGGATTACCAAGGGGCTCATTGCATCTCAACCCTAATAATAATATACAATATTGTACATTATTGTAAACAGCATTCTGTGCAATCATGCTGGCCACATGATTACAGAGTAGTCTCTGACAACGCTGGCTCTTTGGCTAATTAACTGAGATGAGCACCGCCCCCAATGGTCATACACGACTTGACAACCTTGTCAATGGGGAATAATAATAATAATAATAATAATAATAATAATAATTTATTTCTAGCCCACATATTTCCAAAGGGAATCAAGGTGGGTTACAAGCACAAAAATAAAAGAATACAATAAGAAAACAATAATATAGAAGTTGCATAAAAAGCAAATACATGGGGGGAAGGCTATTCTGGGAAGGCCTGTCAGAAGAGATCTGTCTTGAGTACCTTTTTAAAGGCTGTTAAGGTGGCGATGTGACGGATCTCCTCTGGCAGGTCATTCCATAACCTAGGGGCAGCAGTCAAGAAGGAATATCTTTACCTTTTATTGTATATTATGCAATCATATTGAAAAGAAACCAGAATAAAACCAATAGAGGAAAAATGTGGAGAATCACATCCCTGAAAGACGAACAATGCCAGCTTGCATATCTTGATTTCACAATACACTGATGACGCCCAAATCTATTTCTCCGTGTCTCATTCATCGGCTTGAATTCTAATGGCATCTCTTCTCTCAATGACTGTCTTCGGGCGGTAATGGGCTGGATGAGGAAAAACAGATTGAAACTGAATCCGGACAAGACAGAGGTGCTCACGGTAACGGCCCCGAAACCAAGAATTGGGTTGCAACCTCCAGTCCTGGATCGGGTCACACTCTCCTCCAGTGACTGTGTTCACAGTCTGGGGGTGCTCCTTGACTTGTCGCTCCTGATGACAAATCAGGTAAATGCGACGGTCAGGAGCGCCTGTTATCAGCGCCCTTTTCTGGAAGTAAAGGATCTCGAAACTGTTGTGCACGCACTGGTAACCTCACGTCTGGACTTCTGCAATGCGCTCTACATGGGACTACCCTTGTGCTTGGTTTCGGAAACTACAGCTGGTCCAAAATATGGCAGCCAGGCTTTTGTCAGGAACATCTCAGAGGGACCACATTACTTCGGTTTTGAGGTCCCTCCACTGGCTGTCTGTTGGTTTCTGGGCCCAGTACAAGGTGTTGGTTATCACCTTTAAAGCCTACATGGCTTGGGTCCAAACTATCTCAGAGACCTCCTCCTCCCATACAATCCTCCCTGTGCTCTCTGGTGCTCTGGGAGGAATCTGCTGCAGCTTCAAAAATTGAGGCTTGTGGCGATCTCCCAGAGGACTTTCTCTGCTGTTGCCCCCAGGCTCTGGAATGA